TACGATCTATGAACCATTAATACTACTATTACTATCAAACTCTCTTCTATTTGTTCACATTCCTCTTCCATCAGTTAACGAACTCTCTCTCTCTCACTCACTCATCTCCTCCATTTCTTGACTCCTCACATTTTTTTCATTTTAATTTGTTGGTTTGCTTTCCTCACCCTAACTCTAAAACCCTAACCCTAACCCTAAAGATCTTCTGCGCTTTAGAGTCCATTTCAATACGGTGATTTGCTATAGGTTAGGACTTAGATTGACATGTCCCCTCAAGCATCAGGTAACTATCTCCTCTTATTTTTCTTATTACTATTAAATCTTTGTTGATATATTATTTTATTCAGATTTTAAATATTTTATTTTTTTCTTTTTTGTTTTTGGTATGATGTGAGTAAAAATGCTTGTACATATCTAAGGCTAAGTTTTTCAATTTTGTGCTTCTAAAATAGGTTTGCTTCTTGCAATGGAGAAGCTAAACTGAAATGAGTGATCTTGGAAAAAAAAGGAAAAAATGAGAGCTCTGAAGATAGAGCATGAGCCGGAGATTCAACAAAGGTAGCTACAGCGACGGACGGATCGGGACAGGGATTGGGAAGAGAGGCGGACGGAGGTAATGCGTGGATTTCTGTAATGAGTTGGTTTGTGTTTGAAACATGATAATAATGTTTTGAACTGGTAATGAAAAAGATAATTGCAGGAGACCCCTTGAAAAACGAAGTTTGGAAAATCTAGCATACCATTTTTTTGCCACTGAATTCTTGACATACCATTATTACTTTTATATAATGACATTTGAATAAAAATAGGACCCTATTGATTAACCTTAAGAAATATTTGACAAAATTCATAACTACATATTTCACTGTTTACATTCATTGCGTTCAGTGATTGTTGTGGAATTTTTTTGATAACATATGTTCAAAGTTTGCATGATTATTGTTTTAAATGGTTTCAGATTTATAATTAAATTTAGTTTGGTTAATGCATTTGCACATACGAAAGGATTTTTTAGAGCATTAATGAGGAGGTTATAAAGCAGGATGGAAAGAAACCCCTATTGAAAAAAGTAAATCTGTATGAGTAAATCTGACCCACTTCATTGTGCTGTCATTTAAATTTTTACAACCACCAATTGAAAAAAGTAAACAATGTTTTTAATGAACCATAAATACAAGTATACTCCGTGAATAGTAGTGAGACATCCATCAACCGATTAAATAGTTAATGGTTAATGACAAATTTACCCTCATTGTAGTTAAGAACATTGGATTGATGTCATTACTACCACTAATTTGTATTCATTGGAATGATGACAGATCTCCACACAACCAGACACATATTCTACTTTGAAATCCTTTCTTGTCCCTCAACCATCCATCACTTCCTTTCTTTGTTTTCCCTCCCTCAGTCTCTCTCTCTCTCCTTCAAAGGGGTGTAAATATTGTAGGAGTGAATGTGTATGCACCTTTGCTTCAACTTTTCAAAATAAATACATGCAAAACATTTCATTATAGAACTTTTTTTATTTTAATGATAGTCAATCAATTGTATTAAGGTTCTTTAATTTGCCCAAAATAAAGTATCATAAATAACACATTCGACCTCTTTGTGCGGTACTTCAGCCTCAAGCTAATAGAGGTTTATTTTATTATTTGCTGATTAACAATTTTTGGTGATCATAATTAATTAGAATAGATTAATATTCTGGTTTTGCATTCAGTAGAATTGGCAGTAGAGTTGTGCAACTCGGTGGAATGTATAATATACATGCCTTTGAACCCTGCATAATGCATATTGTGCTTTCACTGAAATGACCACTTTGTGCTTTCATTTTGAGTTTTTATTTTATTATTATTATTCTTATAGTTTACATATCATTAAAAATTCCTTCAGGTTTTTTTTTTGGGCAAGATATTATTTGGGTTTTGAGGATTTTAAATTTTTTTTTTTTTGTAGGTGATTCGAGATGCTGCAGAGGTCCATGCCATAGAGATTTGAAAAGGAGACTTTTAGGTGGTTTACAGCTGTGATTTGAAAAGGAGACTTTTAGGTGGTTTACAGCTGTGATTTGCGTGGATCGAGAGTTTAGGGCAGTGAAACATAATTGTGTTTCCAGCTGTATGAGTTTAATGTAGGATTTAGGAAACTCATAAAGGCTACTGCCCTACTTGACCTTTGTAGGTCTACTAAGGTAAGGGTGGGTGGGCATTTGGCTCTGGAGGAAAATTGGGATGTTAGAAACATCTTGATATTGATAGCTTAAGGGTCGGGTGCGAGAGGATGAACGGAAGCTTTCGGCCTTCCTATTATATCCGAGCTGCAGCGAGACATGTTTTGTAGATTATATCCGAGTTAACAACTAATGACCATTATTTAGTTGTAATGTGCTTAGGTAATTTTGTTTTATTTAGTATAATTTTACTAGCTGAATTGCATCGTAGTTTTGCTGGACTTCTGTTGACTAATTTTTTTTTTTTTTTTTTTTAAGTTGTGAGGTTTTTTAAGTTGTGAGGTTCTTGTATATGGTAAGATATGATCTTCAAGTTCATTGTTTTTCTTTCAGGATGGAAAGTTGTTTCTGCTGTTTCTCTAGGACTATACTTCATGCAGCAACAAGAATTTGCCTGGAGATTGGAAAAGGTCATGCTTCTTCTTTTTCCTTGGGTTTACATGATATTATAGATTTGTTGGTTGTAGTTATCTTGACGTTTTCAGTTAGCATAGTTATAGATTTGCCCCACCCGATCTACAATGGACACGGCCAGGTTTGGGAGGTCACAAACCGTGCCTTCGGTGTTGAAGTTTACAAGCAGTAAATAGATGTCTTACACACATCCATTTCAATAATATCTAGTCACAGAGCCTTGTTAGTTTACACACATATATATTACAGATTCTAGTATACCTTTTAACGTCCTCCTTGATAGTTGTTTGCTGTTCCTCCTCCTCCTATAAAACATAGAATGATATGCACTACTGTTGATGAAGTTCACTGGAAAAGTGCAAAGTTAAAATGTTGAATATATGAATTTTTGTACAAAATAATGATTAACAGGAGTCTAATATCTTCTTGTTTTACTAATCTTTAAGTGTTTGTTTCTTTTGGATGGTCATATGCATAGTTTGGAAAACATGGGAAGATACCTGCGTGGAAGCTATGAAACCCTTCGACCCATCTTTAATAAAAAATATAGGTATCTTTCCATTTTTGATTTGATGTGGTGGATGTGAAAGAGTTCTCTTACAAAGCAACGCATTTTTGAGATTATCGAGGAAGAAAACTATTTTGTACTATTTTGTATTGGATGAGTATCCAAAAACGTTACTCGCTGAACCTATTGCTGAAATCGCATACGATGATGTTCCCTTTGACTTGAAAGTGACTTCAGATGATTTTTTTTTCCATGAAAACGACAATACAACAAGATGGGGTGCTGTGGGCCGAAGACAGTTCGGTCGTGATTTTAAGTATTTTTCTGGAAGAAAACGCAATATCTGTACTTCATATGATTCTGAAATTGTGGTCTCTCTTATAAGCGTACGGGTGGGTGCACATATGGTGAATCTGGATGAGAATTCTGATGTTAGAAGCATAGTCTTTGATATTGATAGCTTGAGGTTAGTCAAGCAGTTGGATGGGGTGCGAGAGCACGAACATAAGCTTTTGAATGGCCTTCCTGTTAGGAATCGCATTCGCCGTCCTAAACTTAATCTCCTAGATAGCGAGCTACAAAAAATTTATGATTTCAGGCAAAAACGCTATTATGATACATCTTTAGATCACGTATTCGGCGAGTCAAGTAAAAGTACAGATTATCTAGCTAAATGTGCGGTTGATCCTGATATTGCTATTGATCATGAGCACGTCCTTAAATTGGGAATGGATAAGGTTAAGAACGTTTCTGGTAGTGTTAAACAGGATTGGGACTTGTTGCTCACCAAGGGTTGGACAGTCAAAGACTGCGATTGGGTGTCAATGTTTATTAGAGAGTGACATATGTATAAGTGAAATGTCTTATTGGTTTGAGCCAATTTCATTCAACCTCATTCATAAACACAAGTCAACGAATGAAAACAAACTACAGCAGAAAAACAATTAAAAACACAAACTCAAAAAACAAAGCACACACTCAAACTACATTACTAGTATACCTCATACCTTCCCCAATCAAACCAGTAAGACATTTCACTTATACATATGTCACTCTCTAATAAACATTGACACCCAATCGCAGTCTTTGACTGTCCAACCCTTGGTGAGCAACAAGTCCCAATCCTGTTTAACACTACCAGAAACGTTCTTAACCTTATCCATTCCCAATTTAAGGACGTGCTCATGATCAATAGCAATATCAGGATCAACCGCACATTTAGCTAGATAATCTGTACTTTTACTTGACTCGCCGAATACGTGATCTAAAGATGTATCATAATAGCGTTTTTGCCTGAAATCATAAATTTTTTGTAGCTCGCTATCTAGGAGATTAAGTTTAGGACGGCGAATGCGATTCCTAACAGGAAGGCCATTCAAAAGCTTATGTTCGTGCTCTCGCACCCCATCCAACTGCTTGACTAACCTCAAGCTATCAATATCAAAGACTATGCTTCTAACATCAGAATTCTCATCCAGATTCACCATATGTGCACCCACCCATACGCTTATAAGAGAGACCACAATTTCAGAATCATATGAAGTACAGATATTGCGTTTTCTTCCAGAAAAATACTTAAAATCACGACCGAACTGTCTTCGGCCCACAGCACCCCATCTTGTTGTATTGTCGTTTTCATGGAAAAAAAAATCATCTGAAGTCACTTTCAAGTCATCAAAGGGAATATCATCGTATGCGATTTCAGCAATAGGTTCAGTGAGTAACGTTTTTGGATACTCATCCAATACAAAATAGTACAAAATAGTTTTCTTCCTTGATAATCTCAAAAATGCGTTGCTTTGTAAGAGAACTCTTTCACATCCAGCACATCAAATCAAAAATGGTTGGTCGAAGGGTTTCATAGCTTCCACGCAGGTATCTTCCCATGTTTTCCAAACTATGCATATGACCATCCAAAAGAAACAAACACTTAAAGATCCTAAAATAGTAAAACAAGAAGATATTAGACTCCTGTTAATCATTATTTTGTACAAAAATTCATATATTCAACATTCTTAACTTTGCACTTTTCCAGTGAACTTCATCAACAGTAGTGCATATCATTCTATGTTTTATAGGAGGAGGAGGAACGACAAACAACTATCAAGGAGGACGTTAAAAAGTATACTAGAATCTGTAATATATATGTGTGTAAACTAACAAGGCTTTGTGACTAGATATTATTGAAATGGATGTGTGTAAGACATCTATTTACTGCTTGTAAACTTCAACACCGAAGGCACGGTTTGTGACCTCCCAAACCTGGCCGTGTCCATTGTAGATCGTGTGGGGCAAATCTATGTCCATGTTAACTGAAAACGTCAAGATAACTACAACTAACAAATCTGTAATATCATGTAAACTCAAGGAAAAAGAAGAAGCAAGACCTTTTCCAATCTCCAGGCAAAGTCTTGCTGCTGCATGAAGTACAGCCCTAGAGAAACAGCAGAAACAACTTTCCATCCTGAAAGAAATACAATGGGCTTGAAGATCATATCTTACCATATACAAGAACCTCACCACTTTAAAAAAAAATAAAAATAGTCAAAAGAAGTCCAGCAAAACTACGATGCAATTCAGATGGTAAAATAATACTAAATAAAACAAAATTACCTGAGGACATTGCAACTAAATAATGATCATTAGTTGTTAACTCGGATGTAACCTACAAAACATGTCTCACTGCAGCTCGGTCAGCGAATGGGAACCCTGATATTTTTTTAATTTGAGTTCTATATTAATTTTCAATTTTTTTGTGGCATCTGTGATGCCTTATTTTGTATTTTAGTTGTTAGATTTTAATTTAATCATATTGCTTTTTTCTATCATAGCATGGATTCTGGAGAACTATGAACATAAGGGAAAAAAATATTATTGACTGTCCTTACGACAGACTAAGTTGTGGTTTTGCGGTATCCATGTATTTCAGTTTGTGTATTATTCCAAATTTGTATGCCTTAGATCCTGGTGCTGCATTAGGAAGTTATACTTTGAGAATCCTTCTGTTTTAGGCTATTCAAATTTTCATTTTAAATTTTTCATTAATACTTTCAAGCATATTTCAACAGTTTTCCTTTACCTTGTTTTTACTTCCACTGGATTGTTGGGAGATCTGGGAAGCTGGGAAGCATCCGTTCCTTACTGGCATTGATTATGGGAGACCCCCTCTTCTCCTTCAGATGGTTAATGACTCTGATGACCTAAAATTCGTGTTAGCTTTTTTGGCATATTTTATGCGTCGTGTAGCATATGCAAATGCAAATTACGATCGTATCCTTTTTCCACTCAATTTAGCTTTTGAACTTTGGTTTATTGTGCAAGCACTACATTTTCTTTTACCCTCTTATGTAATTCAATGCTTAACTCTACTGATTTTTAAGATGTGGTTGGGTGGAGAACATCATCAATCCGCCGTCAACATGAACTTCCAAAGGTTGGTTTGTTTCTTATTCATGCATTTCTCTGTGTCAGTGAATATTCTTTGTTGTTCTCTTTTGTAGTCTAATCTTCTTGTAAAGGATGAGAAGTACCCGCATATTGTATATATTGAGCCAGAAACTACTGAAGACATCCATAATAAAGCAATATCCATGGTTGAAAAACTTATTCTTAACACTTAATTCTTTCTTGAGCTACCTCTGCGGTTGTTTACTTATGAGTGCTTATATTTACTTTGAAGTTATTAAATAGGTGACTAATACGACCCGAAGTTGAGAATCTGATACATTGGCAGGTAAATGTATTTGTGAATCAATATATGACTTAGCTATGCTCATAAACATTGAATGGCTATTCATTATAATCTAAAAAGATTATAGTTTAATGGAAAGTTGTACCCTGTTGCAATGCGAAAAAAATAATCAATTGGCAATTTCTAGGCTGAGGCTTTCCTAATTAGTTCAAGGTCTTGCACAATTTACCTCAGTTTCATTTATAATCGTGACCTCCAGCTGATGCCAATCTTCAAATGTTTTCAATTTACTGTGCTAAAATGTCAACTTGTTGATTGATGAAATACCGATTTGGCTTGTCTGAAGAGGTTCCGTTGGTATAAATCTAAATGATTATTGCAGCTAACTTCTTATACATGTTAACATTGCTCTATTCCATATAATTTGGAATACAATTTTGCTTTTTCAGGTTTTTATAAACACTTTTTTTTTTGGTATGCAGAGGAGATGATTGGACGTCTCACTCAAGTACCTTGGCATCTTGTTGATGTTAGCGTTCACAAAAGTAGACAACGATATATTGCGAACAGTACCATTCAGGCAAGCTCTTGAAACTGGGCAGTTTTATTGTTTCATGTACTGCTTGTAATTTATTTTTAACACACTTAAACTTTTACTTTCTTATATCTTTTGGTATCATGATACGGAGACCCTTTATTTGAGAATGTGCATCCCTCTTTTTAAAAATGTTATTTTTTAAAAATGTTACACCTCTTGAACTGCATTATGCACAATTTATTAAGGGCTAAATATTTATTTTTGATGCCAATGTGTAAGTTATTTGAAGAGGAATTGCGAAATATGAAATGTATGCATTTATAATTATTCAAATGCCCATAAATAATTTTTGCTTGGATTCTATCTTAAACGCACAGACCTTAGGCACTGATGATGTAGGTTGCTTTAGCTATTTTTTTTGGCTAGACATGGAAGTTCAGCCTCCCGAAATTATATGTTGGAACGCATCAGGTTCACTTGTTTTTTGTTATTGATTTTCAATTATTTTTTCAGCGTGTTGGATGACTAATCTGTGCGTTTGAGCAATCTTCATGGAGCATTGTCTACCTCGAAATAAACCACACAAACTTTAAGAGTTCCCAGTTGGTCAAACAACTATTTTTTAGGGGATTGGTCTTTCAAAATGAAATTTGTCAGCAGAACCCTTTATTAATTGAAACATATTGGTTAATTTTATAATTTATGATTACCATTGAATAATTGTCACCATTTTTCCTTTTTGCTTCAATTTATTTTGTTTAAGCAAGTGACCTTGAAAATTAAAATTTTATAACAATTAAGTCACTAACTCTGATGCAGCCGCGCGGTGAGCACTAAAGAATACCGTGTGCTCACTGTTGATAATAGCATAAACCACTATTTGGAAGGGCTTTTTCTATGGAGACATTTTTTCTATGGGAATGTCTCCAAAGAAACAAAGTCACTAACACTGTGATTAACCAAAATTTGGGCTTTGTTTTTTTTGAAAAGAGTTATATCAAGTTGCATTTTGTTTTTTCAGACTTCAATGTTTTTAATTGTGCCTGTTGGAGCATGAAATATCATTTATTGATTGGGGCTCTTTGTAGTGGAGACAGATTAGTTATTCACTTGGTCACTGCTGTTCATTTTCTATTGTTTTGTAAACTTGACGGAATGAAACAATTTGTTAATATAATACTTCGAATTCAATTACATATGATTGCTCTTAGCTTATTGATCTGCCCCTTGTAATGTGAAGTGGATTCTTACCCATAAGAATAACTTCGACTTGGGCATTTGAGAATTAATAATTCAAATGGGATGCCATTAATTTTTGAAGTATAAACAAAATGACATCTTTTGCCTTCTATGTTGACCATGTGTACTCTTATTTATTTGTTCTTTCACCAGTCTTATATTCTTGTTTGTTATCTGTACAATTTAATTTTAATCCACATCTTAGTTTGTCCTCATGTTTAGACTCTAAAGCGACATACCCTGGCGCTTCGCACCCATGCCCATATAGATAACATAACAGGATGGTTTGTGCATGCCCATATAGATAACATAACAGGATGGTTTGTGCAAGTCAGCAGAGTCCATATTTGTATTCAGTTTTGTTAATAACAAGTAGAATGATGTTGTCTTCGAATCAGTATTAAAAATATAATTTTTGCTATTCCATTTTTATTAGTTAAGTTTCTCTTCTTGTCCATCTTTTCTTGGGTATTCTCTCTGAGTTTGGTGAATCAGACTGATTTAATTGGCAAATGACAGGCTTATGTGACATGTCTGTTAAGAAATTTTATATGCGCTGAAAGGAAGCGTTGATGGCCAAATTGGACATATATAGAATTAAGTAGAAGAAATTTGGCATCCTTTGCTTTAATCACATCACTGTTGGCCGTCAACTGACTAAAGAATGGATAGGGTCTTTGCCCATCTCGAATGGCTATGGACTGGATTATTTGATTTCCTTGAGAAATTATGTTCTGTTGCATTCTTGAATATGAATCTAAGCTGTGGATAATTTCTTCCTTCATCAAATATTTTTTTTCAAATGTGTTAGTTTACTTGTCATGATCTTTTGATTAAACAAAAACAAATCAACACCAGTTAAATCTGTATCACCTTAACTAAATTTACTGCTCTCACTGCCTACTTTAATGGGTTTAAGTGCAAATTTATTTTTCTTTATTTTAATGGTTTAAGTGAAGATGTTGATTATATTATACAGTATTACCTTATCAGTTGTTTTTGCATCCTCGTTACATGCATCGTGGTGCTACTAGGTAGTTATTTCTATTTCTATTTTGCTACTTGAATATGATAACTGTGCTCACATTCTAATCAGGATTCAAAATTCTCGGGTTTGCCACAGCACAAGTCAAGAAAGCCATGGAGGTGGGTGACTTTTGCTTACATCCTTTAAACCTAAGATGTGTTGTGTCTTTTATTCATAACTAGCACTTCTAACGTCAATAATTCAATGAAATGCTAAGTCTGCTATTTTGCCCATGCTACAGGTTACGCATTATCTAGGGGGCGAAAATTACGTTTTCTGGGGTGGTCGGGAGGGTTATCAGACCCTTTTAAACACAGATATGGAAAGAGAGCTTGATCATATGGTAGGCTCATCAGCTACTTCTCGTAATCCCTGAATTACAGAATAAATTTTAAATTTCCCCAGGTATTATTGAGAACTGTCTTGTCTCTTTATTATTACTGTTTAATTTTCAAAATTTGTTTTTGAAAGCAGATAACCGTATAGCAAGGTTTCCTATTTTCATGTGATTTGTTGTCTAACATATTCAATATTGTTCTTTATTTTCTCTTTACTTTAATTTAATTTACATTTGATTAACTGGTTATCCACTTACAGGGTTTTTATGGAAGCTGCTGTTGCCTACAAGAAGAAAATTGGATTCAACGGTACTTTATATTCAATTTGTCATGTACCATTTATTAGCAGAATAGAATTGTACTGTGAAAAATAAATAACTTTATAGAACTAAACATTGCTTTGGTGCTATCAATCTGTCATCTATTTCTACAGATAATATGAGTAATTTGTTTTCGCAATTGGATTTCTTTTAGCAGTATAGAATTGTCTCTATTATTACTATTATTTTCATTACTTTCCCATATTTGTAGTAAGTGCCCCCCTCTTTCTTTTTTCTCCTGTTGTTCTTTTACTGGGACACCACCATAATTACTATTATTTTCATTACTTTCTCAAATTTGTTGTTGATGTCATGTATGACTTGGATGATAGGCACTTTCTCATACGCTCGAGTCTCTAATCTACTTGCGCTTAAATTATCCAGGTTTTACTCCATTGTTAACAAATCCCTCAAGTTCTTTACTACGGTATCTTTGCAAAGCAAGCTCTATAACTTAACGTTATAGAGTTCTTTGTATTAGCTCAATGTTAATAAATGTTTTTTTTATTTTTTATTTTTTAAACGGCTTACCAAAATGTAGAATTTTTTGAAATGATGTTAAACAAACTCAGGCATTTGAATAAACGGTTAATTGCAATTTGCTACTGAATCAGTCCATGCTGAAATACGCAGGAAATTGAAGTAACATGTGTACTGTCAATGTCCTCTCCACACCGCACCCCACACCACCAAAATAATAATAATAATCTGATACTTTCTCCGGTTTTAGATTATAATTGAGACAATTACAATTACCTCTACAAGAGTGCAAAATAATGCAGAAGAATGGATAACATGTAAGAAGAACAGGTGGGAGGGGGGTGGTGAGGTGTTTAATGATTCCCATGAATTCGTCTTTTGTAGTATAGATTAAACTGATATTGTATGAATATGTAAAATTATATTGATAGTTAATATCTCAATGAATTGAGTATCAAGAAAAATTTCAACTTTCTTTTTAGTTAATTAATGATAATCCCCAAGTGAAACATGATTTATGATTTCCATCTCAAAAATATGAGAAATGGAGATGATAGCACGAGGATTGCAATTCAATTCAATGGTGAGGTGTCCCATAGGGCAACATAAAAAGGTTGATTTATCGTGTAATTATGGATGTATGCATACATATCAGTATGGGGAGATAGCCTTGCGATTGTTACCGAATAAGGTGCCATAAAAAATATATTTGTATATATATACAGATCAATTGGTTGAAAGTTGTGAGTTGCAAAAAGTACAGTAGAACAACAAATGGCGATTAGTTGGTTCTACTCGGCCTTGTAATGTTATTTAACGTTTGCTAGATATAAATAGCTTTGACACTCTTTCTGGAGTGCGCTCGCTTCACTCAACTGCAAGTGGCAGAACTTAAGAAACAGGGCACCTGAACAATGTCCTCTCCACACTTTCTGTCCACTATCATGGAGGTTACGACACGCATGAGACACCCAAGCATTGTGGAGGCGTCTAAATGGCATCAGAAGACTTGAGTATAATAGAGTTCTAGAGTCTTCCGGGATAGTGTAGAGAAGGATGGAGTATTGTACGGAGTTTTGTAGAGTTTTAGATATTCTTGTAGGGAGTTCTAGATTGTTGGGTGTATACCTATAAATAGGCAAGAAGGGTCATTTGTAACCAACATACTCTTACAACAAGTTCAGATGTATCTCGATAGAAAACTTCACTCTAGTCCTAGAATGTACGAAGAAGGGATTTATAATTATTTGTTTAAGCAGCAAATTTATGTTTTGGAGAGTTGTCCGGAGACTTTATCAAAACATGAAGTAATCAGCTGTTTTTGGATACCCCCACCTGAAAGTTGGTATAAGTTAAATGTTTCTGGGTTATTTAAGAAAAATATTGGTGGGACCAAAGAAGCTGGTTGTGGAGTAGTAATAAGAGATCACTGGGGAACGGTTTTGAAATTGCTCCATAAGCCACTCCATCATGCGACATCTAGAGAGGATTTAGTCTCTACTTGAAATTGCTCCATAAGCCACTTCATTATGCCACTTGCTCACATTTTATCACTTTAATATTCATTTTATCCCAAAAATGAGGTTCACTTTTATGGAATATCTAAAAATGTCAGTTTTTTCACAAACAAGTGTCTTTATCTCATTGCTAGAATCAGTTCTCTATTGCTTTGGAAAGTAATTCTGCTCTAGGAAAACTTAATTTTTTTACGCCATTGATACGTGATTAAAATAGTGTATTAATGCGTGGAAATTTATTTTTGTACAAAGTTTAAGCGGTTGTATTGGTCGATTGCAAAATTCAATAGCCTTTGGATTGAGACTTGGAAAAGATTTGATCGTGCGTTGGATTTCGAGGAAAAGAAAAGAAGAAAGAGATCCATGGGTCAAGATCGGTTGACGAGAATAGATTGGGAAGAATGGCAACTTTCATATTTATTATTTGAAGTTTGGAAGGAAAGTTTTGAACAGTTTTTTGGCCGACACGTATAAAAGACTTTGAAAGCTATGAAGCACATACACTTCAATGGGAAGGGAGAAATCGTATCGTTGGACACTTTTTGGTATCATCGTAGGGTACATTTTAGAAACGTAACTGACACTTAATATACGTATTCATAAATAAAAATAATTTTTTATATTATTTTATAAGTCATCGCAAATTAGGAAAGCCAAATTTGGTATATTTTCTTTTTTTATGGTTTTAGTGTAAGTTTTTATATGTTTGGATTAATTATATTTTTCAGAAATGCGTTTGTTTTGTATAATTCTTGATTTAGTGAATTCTTAGAATTCGGGCAAATTAAAATACTAGTTTTGTTAAAAAGAAGAGTCAATCAATTTTATGAATTTCTATCAATTTTGTGAATTTATCTTTCGAGAAATATTTTAATGAATTAACTTTCAATATTTATCTGGCTTTTTATGAATCTCAATTGACTTGTAAAATAAAATCGTTGGTAAATATTATTGATTTTTTGTGTCTGTATCACCGAAATCTTAGTATTTTTAAAATGTTATTTTTACTTAAATCATTCTTTAGAAGCACATTATAAAAGTCGCAACAAGAAGTTTTTCGAACCAAGTTAAGTGTTCAAACACATTTATGATGAGATTGCACATTATGTCGATCATAATTGGGTAAAGTGCAAAAAACACCCCTCAAGTATGCTTATAGTGCATATCACACCCCTCCCGTGCAAAAAACACCCCTCAAGTTTCAATTTGGTGCAATCAAGTCCCTCTGAGAAATTTAAAACTGAACTTGACTAAAGTGCCCTTAATCAATAATTTTATAAAACATATAAATATACAAAAAATTGTAAAAAGACCAAAAAGGACTCTGCAAACCCTGTTCGGTTTCTTGGGCTTCAGTTTTCACGATCAGTTTTGATAACTTTGAACCGTAGGATCAAGTAATACTGTGATCGGAGATCACGATTTTGATAACCATGAGTGTAGGGGGTATGAATGGCACCTAACTGGCATCACCACGGACACTCCCTTCTTTGCCATGAAATCAACTTGCTTGGCGGATTTAAGTATTCATCAAACCTCCACAAGAAAATGAAGAACACATTCAAGATATAAATCAATCATAATGGCCGGGGACTTTCGGCGAAGGTGGTGCCGGCCGCCGGAAGTTACACTCTGCAAATATATAGGCAAATCCGGCAGCGGCTCCAGTCGCCGTCGACGACAACCACCTTTGCCGATAACGACGACGACCTCGACAACCCAACGGCGGCCACACCGACACGACATCTCCGTGTTTCTCTCTCCTCTTATTAACGACTTTCATCTCCACCGATGACGACGACGACCTCGACGCCACTGCAATTTTTGTGTTGAGAGGGGAAAGAGAGATGAAGTGGAGATGGGTCAAAGCTGATTTGGTATTCTCGTCCGAGTTGGACTCGGGGTGAAGCTAAATTGTAAAATAACAAAGCCTTCCATGGGTGGTGAGCTTCAATATCTACAAGACCCAATCGGTGAAGCAACTCCGGCGACCATGAACACCGGCGAGACTCGAGAGCTTGTTCTATTTTAAGTTCTCTGCAAGAGCTATGAGTTGAAGTCCGGCGTTTGTCGCCGGACTTCAACGCCGTCGAATCTGCGTCATCGTTGTCGGCTGTGTAGTCTGCGTCGAATCTGCTCTCCGAGGCTCTGCGTCATCGCCGACATCTTCTTCGGCTTGTCGTCACGTGCGAACGACGACCACCAAATCCAATCTTGATTTGCAGGTGGCGGCCATGGGTTTACCAAATCATCCTCAATAAATCGATCTGCGGCAGTGGCGGCGATGGCATAATTTCATGCCCTTCAACACGCGCCGGTTACTGCAAATCGTGTGCTCTTCACGCCGCGGCAGTCGTCTTCTTCCTCAGAGATTATGACGGTGGCTGAGTTGGTATCGATGCCACAGACACCATTGGGCTTCGATATGACGGTGGATAGACCACCGTCGGTGAGAAGAGGGTTTGTGGGTCCTCCAACACGGATCGGGTTGTTGTCGCCAGAGTTGTTGGCGAAGGTTCTCTGATTCGCAGCCGCCTTGTATATATATAGATATATATATGTGTGTGTGTGTATATATATGTATATGGTGAGATTGATGGGTGGAGTTGAGGGGTGAATTATGGTGTGAGAAGAAGATGGTGGTAGGAGGAACCGGCGGCAGAGAGTAGAGAGAGAAGGATGGGTATTTTCGGAAGACTAAAAGGGCAAAATGGGTATTACAGTAACAATTTAGGGGTGTTTATTGCACAGAGGGGTAATTTTGCACACCTTTTCAATTAGGGTGTAAAAATGCTACAAAAAGTATACTTCAGGGGTGTTTTCTGCACTTCCCCATATTAGAAAGGTAAGGTAGTTTTATAAATAAAGCAAGTTACAAAAAATTAGCCCGACGAAGGCTATGATTAGAAGATACAGGAAGCCTAATTATGTTGTTTTCATATTCTACATATCCTAAAAAAATAAGTTCATTTCAAACTGTTTTGATTTTCGTATTTTAATTGATTCTCTCACAAACTTTACTTCAAAGCAACATTCTTATCCAAAGTGCTTCACAGACTTGGAATACCCAAATGGAGCACTGGATTGTCGTGTTGCAATTGTGATGGGTGACAACCAAGATGTGATACAGTAAGGGGCAGAAATATGGAGGTAACAAACATAGTTTTTTTAAATTTATTTTTTATTTTCTTTTTTACATGATAAAATACACTATTCTATATCTTGCAGTGAAATCGTAGATTTACTAACCAATTTGAAGAATATTATGTTACTCTTCGAGAACATCAAATAGCAGATTTCTTAGCTGGTAGAGCTCGGAGGGGTTGTCTTGGTATAAATTTAGTAAGCTCCTCCCCCTTCTTCCCTTTCTACATCTCATACAGAAACAATGTCTCTTTTGCAGAAGATTTTCAACTCTTATTTGAATGTTAAATTCTAACGGCCAAAGAAGAGTGCTTCTCTGAATTTGGTGAAGGTGAAAGGATCATGGAGAGTTGTCCATTTTTTTTTTTTTTTTTTTAAGAATTAAATATTACTTATAAAAAGGGGAATAAAGTTGACTATTACGGATGACGTCACAATACTCGACGTCAAAAAACCAAAAAAAAAAACTTATGATTTTACCTCTACTCCTACCTTGAAAAGATTTTATTTCTTGTTATTTCCTTTACGAATAGGTGGTGGGTTGGGCCTGTTTCCTAGGCTCTTTTGTTGGACTACATTTCAATCTTTTGAAGTTGTAAGGTCCACTTTTGTTGTTTGGGTTGCCCGACGGGCCTGATCATCTCCCTCTCTCATCCCCTCTCCCTCTCATTAACCTCTATCGATCTGACCCTCACCTTTGCAAAACCCAGATCAAACAAAACAAAAAAACCCGATCTCTCCAAATGAAATGGGTTCAAGGCTAGGGTTTTGTTCAATTTCAATAGAATCCGTCTACAATTGATTGGCCTAGTCCACCAACTAAGCAAAATGTGTTGGGGGCTTGGTTTATATAATAATTTCTCAATTACATAGCCGTTACTGTACTATTCACCCGTTGTATTTTATCTCCTATATATATCGACTTGTACATGTTCAGAGATTATCAATAGAGATATAACCTCTCTGTCTCTCACAGTCCAACATGTCCCTGAGTCAAAGCCTCCATCTCTATTCTCGCTCCCAACTTTGAACTTGCTCTCTCTCTCTCTATCTGTCTGCAATAATCAAAATATCAAAACCCACATCTTTCAGGTTCTATCGCCTGCTGTTTCGCCGTTCACAAGCTTCAGTAGTATCGAAAAAATATAAGTATGTTTACGTACTATTGTTTTGTTAACTTTTCATGAGACTTTCTCATAGATTTGTTTTCATTAATTCTAGTGATTGTTGTAATATTTGTGTATATATTTCTAAAATTTATCACGTTATAGATCTTAGGCCTTGTGCATCTTCCGAGGGATGCCTTTTCTTTTGAATGCTTCTCCATACAAAAAAAAAAAAAATGTTCTTAGCAGAAGATCTTTAACCCTCACTTGCCTCTGTATTTGTTTCTTTTGATACTTTTAGGCCTTTATGGTATGAACTCGCAATGAATTAAACTAGAACAACCATTATGCAATTCCTCAGTGTTCCGGAATCGTCTATCTCAAAATACGTTGCTTCATTCTTTTTACTTTTAAAAAATAAACCTCATGTTATTTATTAATCTACACACTTTCTCAGTTTCTCCACCCACACGCATCATCTCTCTCTCCCCCCAAACACACATCAGATCTTCAGATCTACTCTATCTTTGTCTCTCTTCTTTTCTTGTTTCTCTCACCATCAGATCTACTCTATCTTGTTTCTCTCACACATCAGGTATGTTGTCTTCCCCATTTTTATACATGATTTTGAAATTCTGATTTCTCATATTTGATTCGCATGATTAGTTGTTGTTTGTGTAATGGGTTTGATGTTTGAACACTGATCAGATTAGATCTGGTATAGCTTTTATTTCTGATTCTTGTTTGAGGTTGTTGTGAGAAGTAGGTATTATACTGTTTGAGTTTTATGCATTTTCAATGAAATTCCCTATCTGCTTCTTCAGAATCAGAATTATTTCACGTTTTTTGACTTATATTTTTTATTTCTCAACTATTTTACTGGTTTCAGTTTGGGCATAAATATCATTATGGTGCTCCAATTAGCACTTGACTTCTTCTGGATTTAGAAAATCCAGCGTTTCTCCCTCTTGCTCTACTGGGGTTAGTAAACTGCATTTTTGCTGTATTTGATTATTCTTCTGTTTGTAGTTAATGAAACAAACTTAGGTTTTAAATGCTTTAAAATGAGGTGGGATGAACATAGTGGAGCCCTTGGCTCAAAGGTAAGGTTGCTCCAATGTGATACATTTTTGAAATGTTAAACTACGTTTGTGAAGCTTAGGGTTACAAGTTCAACCTTACCCAACTTAAAGTTCAGTAAACCATTTATATAATTTTCTTGTTTTGTATATCTTATGCTTTTAATCCTCATTTGGGTCTCTCTCAATTTATTAATAGTGTTTGGATTTTAATCTCATTTACAGATTATATCCGAGTTAACAACTAATGATCATTATTTAGTTGCAATGTCCTCAGGTAATTTTGTTTTATTTAGTATTATTTTACTATCTGAATTGCATCATAGTTTTGTTGGACTTCTTTTGACTATTTTTTTTAAGTGGTGAGGTTCTTATATATGGTAAGATATGATCTTCAAGCCCATTGTATTTCTTTCAGGATGAAAAGTTGTTTCTGTTGTTTCTCTAGGGCTGTGTACTTCATGCAGCAGCAAGACTTTGCCTAGAGATTGGAAAAGGTCTTGCTTCTTCTTTTTCCTTGGGTTTACATGATATTACAGATTTGTTGGTTGTAGTTATCTTGATGTTTTCAATTAACATGGATATAGATTTTCCCTACACGATCTACAATGGACACGGCCAGGTTTGGGAGGTCACAAACCGTGCCTTCGGTGTTGGAAGTTTACAAGCAGTAAATCGATGTTTTACACGCCTGCGCATCCATTTCAGTAATTTCTAGTCACATAGCCTTGTTACTTTACACACATACATATTATAGTCTAGTATACTTTTTAACATCCTCTTTGTTAGTTGTTAGTTGTTTGCCATTCCTCTTATAAAACATAGAATGATATGCACTATTGTTGACGAAGTTCACTGAAAAAGTGCAAAGGTAAGAATGTTGAATTTATGAATTTTTGTGCAAAATAATGATTAACAGGAGTCAATATCTTCTTTTTTTACTATTTTAGGATCTTTCAAGTGTTTGTTTTTTTTGGACGGTCATATGCATAGTTTGGAAAACATAGGAAGATACCTGCGTGGAAGTTATGAAACCCTTCGACCCATCTTTAATAAAAAATATAGGTATCGTCCCATATTTGATTTGATGTGGTGGATGCGAAAGAGTTCTCTTACAAAGCAACGCATTTTTAAGATTATCGAGGAAGAAAACTATTTTGTACTGGATGAGTCTCCAAAAACATTACTCGCTGATCCTATTGCTGAAGTCACATACGATGATGTTCCCTTTGATGCCTTGAAGGTGACTTCAGATGATTTTTTTTTTTTTTCATGAAAACGACAAAACAGCAAGATGGGGTGTTGTGGGCCGAAGACAGTTCGGTCGTGGTTTTAAGTATTTTTCTGGAAGAAAACGCAATATCTGTACATCATATGATTATGAAATTGTGGTCTCTTATGAGCGTACGGGTGGGTGCACATATGGTGAATCTGGATGAGAATTTTGATGTTAGAAGCATAGTATTTGATATTTGATAGCTTGAGGTTAGTCAAGCAGTTGGATGGAGTGCGAGAGGACGAACATAAGCTTTTGAATGGCCTTCCTGTTAGGAATCGCATTCGCTGTCCTGAACTTAATTTCGTAGATAGCGAGCTATAAAAAATTTATGATTTCAAGCGGAAATGCTATTATGATACATCTTTAGATCATGTATTCCGCGAGTCAAGTAAAAGTGCAGATTATCTAGCTAAATGTGCAGTTGATCCTGGTATTGATATTGATCATAAGCAGGTCCTTAAATTGGGAATGGATGAGGTTAAGAACGTCACTGGTAGAGTTAAACAGGATTGGGACTTGTTGCTCACCAAGGGTTGGATAGCCGAAGACTGCGATTGGGTCTCAGTGTTTGTTAGAAAGTGACATAGGTGTGAGTGAAATGTCTTAGTAGTTTGATTGGGGCAGGTATTAGGTATACTAGTAATGTAGTTTGAGTGTGTGCTTTGTTTTTTGAGTTTGTGTTTTTAATTGTTTTTCTGCTGTAGTTTGTTTTCATTTGTTGACTTGTGTTTATGAGGTTGAATGAAATTGGCATTAGACTTCAAACTGGTTTGTGTTTTTAATTGTCTTTGACTAGTAATACAAGTGTAATGCAAATTTCATTCAACCTCATCCATAATCACAAGTCGACAAATAAAAACAAACTACAGCATAAAAACACAAACTTAAAAAACAAAGCACACACTCAAACTACATTATTAGTATATCTGATACATCCCCCAATCAAACCACTAAGACATTTCACTCATACATATGTCACTTTTTAATAAACACTGAGACCCAATCGCAGTGTTCGGCTGTCCAACCCTTGGTGAGCAACAAGTCCCAATCCTGTTAATAAACCAGTGACGTTCTTAACCTCATCCATTTCTAATTTAAGGACCTGCTCATGATCAATAGCAATACCAGGATCAACTGCACATTTAGCTAGATAATCTGCACTTTTACTTGACTCGCGGAATACATGATCTAAAGATGTATCATAATAGCATTTTTGCCTGAAATCATAAATTTTTTACAGCTCGCTATCTAGGAGATTAAGTTCAGGACGGCGAATGCGATTCCCAACAGGAAGGCCATTCAAAAGCTTATGTTTGTCCTCTCGCCCTCCATCCAACTGCTTGACTAACCTTAAGCTATCAAATATCAAATACTATGCTTCTAACATCAGAATTCTCATCCAGATTCACCATATGTGCACCCGTACGCTCATAAGAGAGATCATAATTTCAGAATCATATGATGTACAGATATTGCGTTTTCTTCCAGAAAAATACTTAAAACTACGACCGAACTGTCTTCGGCCCACAGCACCCCATCTTACTGTTTTGTCGTTTTCATGAAGTCACCTTCAAGGCATCAAAGGGAACATCATCGTATGTGACTTCAGCAATAGGATCAGCAAGTAACGTTTTTGGAGACTCATCCAGTACAAAATAGTTTTCTTCCTCGATAGTCTTAAAAATGCGTTGCTTTGTAAGAGAACTCTTTCGCATCCACATCAAATAAAAAATGGGACGATCCTATATTTTTTTATTAAAGGTGGGTCGAAGGGTTTCATAGCTTCCACGCAGGTATCTTGCCATGTTTTCCAAACTATGCATATGACCGTCCAAAAGAAACAAACACTTGAAAGATCCTAAAATAGTAAAACAAGAAGATATTAGACTCCTGTTAATCATTATTTTGTATAAAAATTCATAAATTCAACATTCTTACCTTTGCACTTTTCCAGTGAACTTCGTCAATAGTAGTGCATATCATTCTATGTTTAGGAAGAGGAACGACAAACAATTAACAATGAGGAAGTTAAAAATAACAAGGCTCTGACTAGAAATTACTGAAATGGATGCGCAGGCGTGTGAAACATGGATTTACTGTTTGTAAGTTTCAACACCGAAGGCACGGTTTGTGACCTCCCAGACCTGGCCGTGTCCATTGTAGATCGTGTAGGGCAAATCTATATCCATGTTAACTGAAAACGTCAAGATAACTACAACCATCAAATCTGTAATATCATGTAAACCCAAGGAAAAAGAAGAAGCAAGACCTTTTCCAATCTCCAGGCAAAGTCTTGCTGCACTTCATGCAGCCCTAGAGAAACAGCAGAAACAACTTTCCATCCTGAAAGAAATACGATGGGCTTGAAGATCAAATCTGTAATATCATGTAAACCCAAGGAAAAAGAAGAAGCAAGACCTTTTCCAATCTCCAGGCAAAGTCTTGCTGCATGAAGTACAGCCCTAGAGAAACAGCAGAAACAACTTTCCATCCTGAAAGAAATACGATGGGCTTGAAGATCATATCTTACCATATACAAGAACCTCACCACTTAAAAAAAAAAATAGTCAAAAGAAGTCCAGCAAAACTACATTGCAATTCGGATAGTAAAATAATACTAAAAATAAAACAAAATTACCTGAGGACATTGCAACTAAATAATGATCATTAGTTGTTAACTCGGATATAATCTGCAAAGCATGTCTCGCTGCATCTTGGTCAGCGAATGGAACCCTGATATTTTCTTTTTCTTTTTTAATTTGAGTTCTATATTAATTTTCAATTTTTTTGTGGCATCACAGATGCCTTATTTTGTATTTTAGTTGTTAGATTTTAATTTAATCATATTGCTTTTTTCTATCATAGCATGGATTCTGGAGAATTATGAACAAAAAAATATTATTGACTGTCCTTGTTTTGCGGTATCCAAATTTGTATGCCTTAGATCCTGGCGCTGCATTAGGAAGCACTTTGAGAATCCTTCTGTTTTAGGCTATTCAAATTTTCATTTAAAATTTTTCATTAATACTTTCAAGCATATTTCAACAGTTTTCCTTTGAAAAAAAGGAAGGATTCTTACTGGCAATGATTATGGGAGACCCCCCCTTCTCCTTCAGATGGTTGTTTCAACAGTAGCATATGCAAATGCAAATTACGATCGTATCCTTTTCCCACTCAATTTAGCTTTTGAACTTTGGTTTATTGTGCAAGCACTTCATTTTCTTTTGCCCTCTATGTAATTCAATGCTTTAACTCTACTGATTTTTAAGATGTGGTTGGGTGGAGAACATCATCAATCCGCTGTCAACATGAACTTCCAAAGGTTGGTTTGTTCCTTATAAAGGCGTCAGTGAATATTCTTTGTTGTTCTCTTTTGTAGTCTATTCTTCTTTTAAAGGATGAGAAGTACCCGCATATTGTATATATTGAGCCAGAAACTACTGAAGACATCCATAATAAAGCAATATCCATATGGTTGAAAAACTTATTCTTAACACTTAATTCTTTCTTGTTAATTTTATTCTTATTTGTGTAATTTTGTTTGAGCCTTGAGCTACCTCTGTGGTTGTTTACTTACTTATATTTACTTTGAAGTTATTAAATATCTGGGGTGACTAATACGACCCGAAGTTGAGAATCTGAAACATTGGCACGTAAATGTATTTGTGAATCAATATATGACTTAGCTATGCTCATAAACATTGAATGGCTAGATGAGAAGGATATTATTCATATAATCTAAAAAGGATTATGGTTTAATGGAAAGTTGTACCCTGTTGCAATGCGAAAAAATAATCAATTGGGCAGTTTCTAGGCTGAGGCATTCCTAAGTTCAAGGTCTTGCAGAATGTACCTAAGTTTCATATATAATCGTGACCTTCCAGCTGATGCCAATCTTCAAATGTTTTCAATTTACTGTGCTAAAATGTCAACTTGTTGATTGATGAAATATCTATTTGGCTTGTCTGAAGAGGTTCCATTGGTATAAATCTAAATGATTATTGCAGCTAACTTCTTAAACATGTTAACATTGTTCTATTCCATATAATTTGGAATTTGCTTTTTCAGGTTTTTATAAACAATTTTTTTTTTTTTTGTATGCAGAGGAGATGATTGGAGGTCTCACTCAAGTACCTTGGCATCGTGTAACGCATTCACAAAAGTAGACAACGATATATTGCGCACAGTACCATTCAGGCAAGCTCTTGAAACTGGGCAGTTTTATTGTTTCATGTACTGCTTTTAATTTATTTTTAACACACTTAAACTTTTACTTATATCTTTTGGTATCATGATACGGAGACCCTTTATTGAGAATGTGCGTCCCTCTTTTTAAAAATGTTACACCTCTTGAACTGCATTATGCACAATTTATTAAGGGCTAAATATTTATTTTTGATGCCATTGTGTAAGTTATTTGAAGAGTAATTGCTAAATATGAAATGTATGCATTTATAATTATTCAAATGCCCATGAATAATTTTTGGTTGGATGCTATCTTAAACGCACAGACCTTAGGCACTGATCATGTAGGTTTTTTTGGCTAGACATGGAAGTTCAGCCGCCGGAAAATATATGTTGGAATGCATCAGGTTCACTTGTTTTTTCTTATTGATTTTCAATTATTTTTTCAGCGTGTTGGATGACTAATCTGCGCGTTTGAGCAATCTTCATGGAGCATTGTCTACCTAGAAATAAACCACACAAACTTTAAGAGTTCCCAGTTGGTCAAACAACTATTTTTTAGGGATTGGTCTTTCAAAATGAATTTTTTCAGCTTCTTTATTAATTGAAACATATTGGTTAATTTTATAATTTATGATTACCATTGAATAATTGTCACCATTTTTCCTTTTTGCTTCAATTTATTTTGGTTTGGCAAGTGACCTTGATAATTAAAATTTTATAACAATTAAGTCACTAACTCTGATGCAGCCGCACGGTGAGCACTAAAGAATACCGTGTGCTCACTGTTGATAATAGCATACGCCACAATTTGGAAGGGCTTTTTCTATGGAGACATTTTTTCTTTGGGAATGTCTCCAAAGAAACAAAGTCACTAACTCTGTGATTAACCAAAATTTGGGCTTTGTTTTTTTGAAAAAAGTTATATCAAGTTGCATTTTATTTTTTCAGACTTCAATGTTTTTAATTGTGCCTGTTGGAGCATGAAATATCCTTTATTTGATTGGGGCTCTTTGTAGTGGAGACAGATTAGTTATTCACTTGGTCACTGCTGTTCACTTTTTATTGTTTTGTAAACTTGACGGAATGAAACAACTTGTTAAATATGAAACTTGGAATTCAATTACATATGATTGCTCTTAGCTTATTGATCTGCCCCTTGACTCGAGATGAGGTAATGTGAAGTGGATTCTTACCCATAAGACTAACTTCATGACTTGGGCATTTGAGAATTAATAATTAAAATGGGATGCCATTAATTTTTGAAGTATGAACAAAATGACATCTTTTGCCTTCTATGTTGACCATGAGTACTCTTATTTATTAGTTCTTTCACCAGTCTTATATTTTTGTTTGTTATCTGTACAATTTATTTTTAATCCATATCTTAGTCTGTCCTCATGCTTAGACTCTAAAGCGACATACCCTGGCGCTTGGCACCCGTGCCATATAGATAGATAACATAACAGGATGGTTTGTGCAAAGTCAGCAGAGTCCATATTTGTATTCAGTTTTGTTAATAACATGTAGAATGATGGTGTCTTCGAATCAGTATAAAAAATTTAATTTTGCTATTCCATTTTTATTAGTTATGTTTCTCTTCTTGTCCATCTTTCCTTGGGTATTGTCTCTGAGTATGGTGATAATCAAATGACAGGCTTATGTAACATGTCTGTTAAGAAATTTTATATGTGCTGAAAGGAAGCGTTGATGGCCAAATTGGACATATATAGAATTAAGTAGAAGAAATTTGGCATCACTGTTGGCCTTCAACTGACTAAAAGAATGGATAGGGTCTTTGCCCATCTCGAATGGCTATGGACTGGATTATTTGATTTCCTTGAGAAATTATGTTCTGTTGCATGCTTGAATATGAATCTAAGCCGTGGATAATTTCCATCAAATATTTTTTCTCAAATGTGTTAGTTTACTTGTCATGATCTTTTGATTAAACAAAAACAAATCAGCACCAGTTAAATCCGTATCACCTTAACTAAATTTGCTCTCACTCTCACTGCCTGCTTTAATGGTTTAAGTGCAAATTTGTTGATTATATTATACAGTATTACCTTGGGTTGTTCAATTCTAATGTTTTTTATCCTGCCTCTATTCTCGACTATTTATTATTAATTATGTGACTGTACAGGGGACCAAAATTCGTTCCTTGTTGGGCACAGCTTAGTTGTTTTTGCATCCTCGTTACATGCATCGTGGTGCTACTAGGTAGTTATTTCTATTTCTATTTCGCTCACATTCTAATCAGGATTCAAAATTCCTGGGTTTGCCGCAGCGCAAGTCAAGAAAGCCGTGGAGGTGGGTGACTTTTGCTTACATCCTTTAAACCTAAGACGGGTTGTTTCTATTATTCATGACTAGCACTTTTGAGGATGCCAAAAATGGCGTGGGTCGGATACGGTCCACACGATAGCAATAGGCCGGGTAATTGATCCTGGTCCGAACCAAGCTCTTGCAAGACAGGTCCAAGATTGAAGAACTGTGCCAAAGGTCCACTGAAAGTAATTAGGCCCATAACTAGAGAGGCCCGGGGTGTCGGCCCAACACAAGAAGTTAGGTAGCTTCTAGAAATTGTAACAGTCTATAAATAGACGGAAATTAGACGGAAATTAGAGGGGAAAAGGGTGGGGAAAATCTTGAAGTGTAAGGATATTCTGTCCAAATAGAGAGAAATTTCTTGCATCTTCAATGGCGCCGTCCGTGGGAATTTATCAAGATTGAATCGATTAAGATGGATTCAATCAAGACTAGTTCGTGAAGAAAAAGCTTGATCTCTGAAAGTTGAATCTAGATCGGGATTTATCTTGCAGAGTTTCGATTCTGGCTGGTGGTGAGAGATTCACGTTGGATTTACGCAATTGTGATTTGTTTAGTGAGGCTAGATTTGACAAGTTTATGGTAGGAGAGATTCAGATCCGGCAAAAGGAGCTGGTTCGAGTTTAGATCTAGTACGTTCGCATTAGCAAAGCTCAGATCTGATCCGGAACTTGTAGTTAATGACTTTGCTCCGATCAGGAATGATGATAGGAGGTGAGAGCTCAAATCCATTGGAGAATGGCCAGCAGTCGAAGCTTGATGAATTGATGAGCATCGTCGAGAAGCTTCGGTTATTCCATGACCACCTCCAGGAGGGGAGAGAGTTTTGCAGTTCAATGTTGCTCATCAAAATGATCAGGAAGGAGACGATCACATGGATCTTCATCGTGAGGAGATCGTGCCAGGCGATTTACCGCCAAATGTCCTATCCACTTGGATCCGCATCGCGAGCGGATCATGCGAGAAGAAGCTGCAGCGTTTGATCCAAATCAAGGAAGATTGAGCCGTGAGGAAGCCATGGAGTTTGGTCACTTTAATATTGCTGTTTTTGGATACCCCACCTGATGCTTGGTATAAGTTAAATGTTTCTGGGTTATTTAAGGAAAATCTTGGAGTGGATTATGGGATAGAAGAAATTCTTCAAAGATCGCAATCAATGAAAATAGTATTGGAGATCGACCATAAACAAACTTCCATGGTGCTAAGTGTACGTGCGCATGTACCAACGGAAAACATTGGACTTTATTAGTAAGCTTTTTATATCACGTGAGTTTATTCTTTAAATTTCGATTTCAGTTTCCAATCACGCTGATATAAAAATTATTGTTATGCAGTAAAATTTTTGTTATGTTGTCGATCCTTGACGAAAGAGTACTTTTTCAATATCCTCAAGGAAACATTCTAGCTAAAAGAATTGTGTATATAGCTTTCCATCTGACCATGGGCCAGAGTTTTCCCATAGACGAAAGAGGTTATGATACACAAGTCTGCTGTGATCAATTGGAAATGTCGCGATATGAGATTGTTCCCAGAATTGAAGAATTGTACGATAATGATTTTGAAGGATCTTCTGATGATGGTTTTTAAATCGGGTACTTTGCTTTCTCATTTTCTACATAAAAACAGACTACAAAAGAAAAGAAGTTTTTATTTTTATTTTTTTAACTGTGTTTTTTAGATAAAAATGTATTTTAAATTCATGGAAGGAGAGAGTAATTAGCCTGATGTTGATATAGAAAGAAGTTTGGAGGAGGGGGGTTGAATATTTCTGGACACATCTTGACAATCACACTTCTGCTCCTATTTCTATGCAAGCCTATTTTTACTTATATTAATTTCTTTACCTTTATTCTAGTATATTATAAATTTCACTAGGAGAAAGAATCGTTGGCTGAATATATTTTCTGCAGATTGCCGTCTAGTTCATTATACCAGCAACGGCAAGCCCAAGAGTTGTTCTCATCCAATGTGTTTCAGGATTTTCCCATTAAGTTACATAACTTATTAAAGCAACGGGTTGTAACAAAATCAGCTTGGCAGGATATGATGATATTGTCCATGTTGGCTTTTTATGTGTTTTAATTTTGAATTACCTCGGTCTTTTCTTTTGTTTTTGGGCCACCGCGTATAGTTTTAACCAATTTAGTTTTAACCTTCTTAGTGTTATGCCACTTGCTCACATTTTATCACTTTAATATTATCCCGAAAATGATGATCACTTCTATGGAATATCTAAAAATGTCAGATTTTTGAAAAGTACTAACTTTTTTTGAAAAGTACTAAGTTTTTTATCACGCGTCACAAACAGACAAAAATGTTGCTGCTACTTTTAGTGTCTTTATTTCATTGCTAGAATCAGTTCTCTATTGAATTGGAAAGTAATTCTCCTTTAGGAAAACTTAATTTTTCTCTGCATTGATAAGTGATTAAAATCGTGATTAAAATAGTGTATTAATGCGTGGAAATTTAATTTTGTACGAAGTTTAAGCGGTTGTATTGGTATATTGCAAAATTCAATAGCCTTTGGATTGAGACTTGGAAAAGACTTGCAAAATTCGAGGGAAAGAAAAGAAGAAAGAGATCCATGGTCAAGATCGGTTGACGAGAATTCTAGATTGGGAAGAATGACAACTTTTATATTTGAAGTTTGGAAGGAAAGTTTTGAACAGTTTTTTGGCCGTAATTGACTTTAAAACCTATGAAGCACATACACTTTAACTTTAATGGGAGGGGAGGAGTCGAGTCATCATTGGACAGTTTTTGGTATCATCGTTGGGCACATTTTGGATACGTGACCGATACTTTATATACGTATTCGTAAATAAATATAATTTTTATATTATTTTTATTAGTCATCACAAATAATTTTTTATATTATTTTTATATATATTTTTTATGATTTTAGTGTAAGTTTTTATATATTTGGATTAATTATATTTTTCAGAAATGTGTTTGTCTCGTATAATTCTTGAATTAGTGGATTCTTAGAATTCGGGCAAATTGAAATACTAGTTTTGTTAAAAAGAAGAGTCAATCAATTTTATGAATTTCTATCCATTTTATGAATTTGTCTTTCGAGAAATATTTTAAGAATTAACTTTTAATATTATCTGGCGTTTTATGAATCTCAATTGACTTGTAAAATAAAATCGTTGGTAAATATTATAAATTTTTTGTGTCTGTATCACCGAAATCTTAGTATTTTTAAAATGTTATTTTTACTCAAATCATTCTTTAGAAGCATTATAGAAGTCGCAACAAGAAGTTTTTCGCACCAAGTCAGGTGTTCAAACACATTTATGATGAGATTGCACATTATGTCGATCATAATTTGTGCAAATTTTGGTACGGGGATCATACTAATCATTTAGTTAGAATTGAGTCTAAAAATTTGCTTGGCAATTTATTTGATTCTCCTAATCACTGTCACACGCTTGGCAACTTGGTTGATAATGAGAATAATCATGAAAATAATAACAATTTCCAAGTTGACCAACCCATTGCAACTCTTCAAATTATTCTAGAACTAGTGCACCTTCATAATCTTAAAAGCCTTGCATGATTCCAATATTACCTAGATTCCATGGTTCAGAATCTGAAAAATGAAAATCCCTTTTGAAGAGGTTCTTTAAATGTAAAGCAAGAATTTTTCTCAAAATAAAAAAAAAAGAGATGGGGGGACTAAATTAATTTTTTGGTAAATTTATTCAAATTCTTCTACCTACCCTTTAAATAACTTAAATTGGTCAACTTAAAAAAAGTAAAATAAATTACTCCAGATCTCATAAAAAGTGTCACTCTTGGATAATCATGCCTCTCACAAATTGAACCTGACATGACCCTAAAAACGACACTATTTTTGAGACAGAGGGCGTGTATACTAATTTAGATTAGACCCACATGTAAAAAGAATTATGTTGACCAAAAAATAATAATAATAAAAAATAAATAAATTCAATTGGTTAAATTAAAAAAAAAAAGGAGAAATAAAAAATATTTTCATTTTCTTACTTAAAAAAAAAAAAAAAAAAAAAAATCAATGCATTTAGAAGAGCTGCAAAGTGCTTTTCAATTTAAAACAGTAATCAAGATGGACGGCCGTGTGTGCAAATTAAGTGCTTACTCTTGTCAACATATCAGTCACTAAATTATAGTAATCTTTTTCTTCGGCTTTGATTCAACTTCTTATGAGAGAGTCTACTTGATTTATAAGTTTGAGTGCAATTTTTTTTTTTTTTTTTTTTTTTTTTTCTTCAGTTTTCTCAAAATAAAAAAATTATTAAAAAAAAATATACTTGGTTCAATTTTTTTAAAACTATTTTATAAAAGTTCAGTTATAAAAAAAGGTTTTTGTTTTTGAAAAATTGTCTTTTATAATTTTCTAAAAATAGTTTTATATTTTCTGAATTTTTGAGACCTGTTTTCAGAGTTACAAACAAAACAAACCTTAACTTTTGTTGGCCGACACAATCACAAACTTTCCAAGTCTAATGACACTACCATTTTTGTTAAAAAAAAAATAAATGCATCAATTGATTTGAAAATAGATGAATCAAGTATAAAATTGATTGTCAAAGTCTATATGATCTATTTGGATTGCCAAGCCAAATGAGCGTGTTGTGAGTTTTTTGGACCATTTTAGAGTGTTTGGTTTTTACCCGAAAGGACTATTTTTCCACTGGAAACAACCCAATGAGCATATATACTCACAATTTTGCTGTGATGTACTCGTTTTTCGGCGGAATTTCATTATTTAGGGATTTAATACAGAAGGCATGTTGATTATTTTGAAATTTTTGACAGGCTTAAAATGCTCTCAATTTTTATATTTAGTAGTTTTTATTAATTATGTTTTTTTTCTTTCTATTTTTTCATAATTTTTGTATTTTTGTATTTTATTTTTAAGCTTATTTTTAAAAAATTTATTTTTAAGTTTTTTTATGTTAAAAGGCTTTAGAACGTACTTATTATTTGAATATTTCTTTCATTATAAATACATATAATGTAGAGGGCAGTATCACTTATTAAATTATTAATATAATATTAAATCTTTTCTGTAGATTTATCTCATAACTTTCACTTGACGACTCGAGCACTTTCACTTGAATACTATACAGATTATCTTAGGATAATTCCATTAATTAAAATTTTCAAATTAATGAAATTTTAACCAAGTCTAACGTGGACATGGAAATCTACGCTATATTATTTGTTTTTTTTTTTTTTTCTTTTCAAATTGTCATTCTATTATTGTTGTGAAATTATGGTATTGCCCCTCTCATATGCACAGAGAAAATTGAGACGGGTCTTTATGCAAGCCTTTTGAAAAGCCATTGCTCTCTTTCCTCAAGCTTCAAAGAAAGAATCCGGTGAACCAAGCTTAATCCGGAAAGAAAGAATCCGGTGCTGCAAGACTCATTTTGACACAACGGAAAGAGGAGAAAGCAAGGAGGGAGTCGCCCGCGGGTTCTAAATTACCCCCATTTTTTTTTTACTACTGAGGTCGCCGAGAACGGGTCATTCAAGGCCCCAGAATCTGATCAACCAATGGAGACAACTGACGCCGCCACTGTAACCGACACGGCCACCAAGTCCGAGCCAGTAGGAGATGATCATCCTCTGTCCGGATCAGAACCAGAAGAAACAATGCCCACTCCGGCAGCATCTTCAGCCGACAAAGACGTCAAAAAGTGGCCGGGATAGCCCGGGGACTGCGTGTTTCGCCTCATTGTCCCCGTCCTCAAGGTCGGTGGTATATCGGCTGCAAAGGTGAACTCAGCACGAAAATGTCCGAGAAGACTGGCACTCGCATACGCGTCCTTGTTGCCCCCAATGGAACTTCTGAACGCATTGTGTTGAAAATTGAATTACTCACAAAGGTAACAAAACAGTCTGTATTTAGAAGGAGAGGCCCAAAATGTCTCAGTTTTTCTCTCTCTACATATGAGAGAGGGGCAGAGGCAATTTGAGAAAAAAAAATATATATATATATATATACTGTAGATTTTCATGTCCACGAGTCTGATAAAATTCCATCGATTTGGAAAACTTGATTTTTACTCTACTATTTTGTCCTTTAACCCACAAAACTCTATTTTTTTGAAATTATGTAGTACAATCCTTGCCGATATAATGCCAAACAGATGCTGAACAGCAGCTTGTAGAAGAGAATGTAGGAAAAAGAGTCTCAGAACCAACATTGATATGGTAATTATCAACAGGTGCAAAGATTGCGCGCTACAGAAAAATATGGACCCCGCCACGTATAAATGCAACAGCAATCTCACCAACATGAGCAGAATACACAATTCCAGCGAGAGTTTTTTTATTCTTTCCTGAATGTTCGAGCAAGAGTTCTAATATCACTTCGCAGATCAAAAGGATAAAAACTGACCCTTTTTGCATTCACAACACCTGAATCAGATGTCTTCCAGGCATTAGAGGTTAGTCCGACCACAGCTGAATCGAATTGTTTGCTGCAGGGCTCTTCGATCTGTCGTGGTCGTTTGTGGTATGTGGAGGTGGCGTGGTTCTCGAATTGGTGGAGAGGAGAGAGAAAAGGAAGAGAGAAGAAGATAAAAGAAAAATATAGTATAGATTTATATTTTTAATGCGGGTAAACTTATAATTTGACACAATCAGATATTTTAATATTTTTAACAATATAATATTAAGGATAGAGAGTAAAATACTAAAATCACGTTAAAAGTAAAACCAAATATTTGTATGTACAATACGTACACACACCACACTGGAAACAATGCCATTTTTATTTTATTTTATTTTATTTTTAAACCGCCAAAATTATCCCAAATGCTTTTTATATGGA